ATTTCTTATTTTTATAATTCTTTATTTACTCTAAAAGTATTTTTAATTAATATTATACTTTATAATATTATATATATTTTATTTTAATATAAATTACTTAGTTTATCTTTTTATTTACTATTTAGATATAGTTATTTTTATTTTTTAAATTATTTAATTAAATTTTTAATTTTTAGAGACTTATTAAGGTCTTTAAGAGATTTAATGTTTATAAAATTACTATTAGAAGTAATATATTCTTATTTTATTATTATAGTTAGTTAAATATTAATTAACTAGTCTATTAAAGCTAATTTAAATTTATAGGTTTTATTATTATAGATTTTAATATACTTTAATATTTATAAATATTCTTTATTAATTATATTAATAGGTATTATTTAAAATATAAGGGTATAAACTTATTATAATTATATAGTTATTAGATAGTTTTAATATTTATTTTAACTTTATATTTAATAGCCTTTTAATTTTATTAAATTTTATTTTATATATTTTTACTATATTTTATAAATATTTTATTAGCTATAATTACTTTTTTAAAATACTTTACTTTAATATTATAATTTAAAGCTAATTATCTTATAATATAAAAGGCTTTTTTAAAAGTTCTTAACTAACTCTTTATTTATTTAATTAAGTTTATAAAATAGTTAATTATAATTATAAATTATATATTATAAAAGTTAATATTAATAATAAAATAATTTAATATAAATTATTTAAATTATTAATTAAAAGTATATTATTAATTAATATCTTTATTTTAAAATATATTTTTAATTAAATCTTTTAATCTATTTAACTATTTATATTAACTATATAAAGGTTAATTTTAATAGTTATCTTTAAAGAGGCTATTAAATCTTTTAATATATTTAAAGTTAGTTTAAATAATATATTTAAAAAAGTTAAGTATTATTAAAGTATTTTAAGTAGTTTATAATATTCTTATTTATAAAGGGTTTAAATCTAAGACTATAAAAGTTTATTTAAGTAAATAGAGATTATTATACCCTTATAATAAATACTTACTTAAATAATTATAATATAGGTTATAATAAATTATTATTATTAAAATTATTTTATTAATAGCTATCTTTTAGTATTAATAGTACTAGAGGTATTAGAGTTAAGAGTATTAATTATTTAAGTAGCCCTAATAAACTTTAATTTGAATCTATTATTATTATAAGTAGAAAATTATTAATAGTATTTTAAAAAAGGAGTTAAATTACTTATATTAACTTTAACTTTCTAAGTATTAGATTATATATATATATAGATATTTATATAATAACTTATTTATTAATAAAATAAAGAGTAAATAAATCTATTTAAAGTAAATTTTATATTAATTAATCTATTTAATAGTTTTATATAGATAAAATAAAGTTAATATCTTAATTAAGTTTATAGTTTTAATACTTTATATCTATAAAGTATATTATAAGTCCTTTATTATCCAAACCTTATTATCTTTAAATCTTTTAATAGAAGGTTTTATTTTTAATTATTTTATATTAAGATAAATAAAGAATTACTCTACCTTTCCTTTAAAGTTTATTAAATTTCTATTTAAAAATACCTTAAAGTTTTTAATATTTTAGTGTCTCCTATATTAATAAACTATTCTTCTTTATATTAAAATAGTAACTACTATCCTTAATTAATAATTACTTTTAAGTTCTTAAAAAGCTTACTTTAATTCTCTTAATATATATAAATAAAGTTATATATATAATTAAGTTATAAAAGTAGACTTTCTATTAATAGTTATTAAAAGACTTATAATTAGAAATCTATCTTTAATAATTAAAATATTTAATAAATATAGCTATTAAATATAGATATATATATAAATTAGATTTCCTCTCTATATAGAAGGTCTTTCTATAGTTATCTACTAATAAATTAGAGTATAAATAGGTTAGTTAAGCGCTTAACTATAGGCCTAAAGAAGCACCTATATAGGGTGAAAAAAGATAGTAAAAATCTCTTAATTTAGATATATTTAAAAGAGAAATAAAGAAGGATTAAATTCTTCTAACTACCTAAAAGAGGGGTAGGTGAGTATTTTTTATATAGGGTATCTATGGGTGTAGAGGCCCTTACTAACTCAATATATAAGTAAGAGCTCAGATGTTAGTGGACCTATTTTTAGAGGCCCACATACCGATTTCTAACTAAGCATAGCTTTACACATAATTAGAGCTAGAAAGATACTAACTCATTTATAATTTTAAAGAATATTAAAGTTATAAACTTATTCTCTAAGCTTATATTATACTTAGTAGCCCTACTTATAACCCTTTAATATATTTTAAACTTTAGCTTTTTTACTTTATAACTTTAAAGTATTTCCTTTTTTATTTTTTATAATCTTAATAGAATATAAAGAAGGTACTTAAGCTTAGTAAATCTATAGGTATATAACCTTTAAAAATAGGTGAGTAAAGGTTTAAAATTATAAATAATAATATAAGTAGCTTCTATTTTAATATCTATACTTTTATATTAAAGTTAAAATTAGTTAGAATTAATTTAATTATAAACTTTAATTAAAATTAAAGCTTTAATTAATTACTTTAATAAAATTAAAAGTTTTAAATTAAAAGGTTAACTAAATTAAATTAATTTAATTAAAGGGGTAAATAAAAAATAAAATATTAAAACTAAAAATAATTAAGTAAAGATTAAACTTATAAATTTTCTAAATTTAATATTAAGAGTAGAATTACTATATTATAAACTTACTTTCTTTAATCTCTTAACTTAATTATAACTTATTCCTTAATTAGTAAGTTTTAATTAGATTCCTTAATTAAAATTAAGAAATTAAATTAAATTAAAAAGTAATTAGTTAGATTAAGAAACTAATAAATAAATTTATAACCCTACTCTATATAGTCCTATTATAGAATAGTGAACGCTGAGAGACCTAGCCTTTGAAAACTTATATAAATTGTATGACTAAAAACCTTTTTTTGATCACATTTAACCTACTAAACTGTTATGGGTTAATAGATGATAATGTATTGACCGGGCTATGCAGCAGTGGTATTGCAGGCTGTGCTGGAGAAGAAACAATACGGCATTGATGAAAAACACAGTTTGTGTCAACATATTGGATGTTATCAGTACCATATAAGTTCCTGGCATGCATTTCATATAGTCTTTCGGGTTGGGGATACCAAGTTCATTGTGGAATTGTGGACTTTGGGGAAGATCCAGAAATATGTAAAGCACATGTCTCCATTCAACCGCGTGATTGCCTATTTAATAGAATGATGCCTTGAAACAGAACACGAACCTGCCCCTTCCCCCATAAAGAAATAAATACAGCTCTCTCTCTTTACCTTTGCTTCTTCAAAGGAGACTACTCGACACGAAGGCCCAGCGCCTTACGCGCCATATCCGTACAAATATCTGCCACGCTGTTGTACTTAAGAATGCTCAAAACAGAAACATCCAATTCAAGCACCTTCTGGAACCAGTGTCTGATCTCGACGGCAATCAGTGAGTCGAGACCGAGACTCATCAACGACCGCTCGCCCTTGACTGTGTTCGGCGCCATCTGCAGCATAGCCTCGAGCTCCTTCGAGAACGCGCCCTGCACAACAGCAACAGCTTCCTTCTCAGACCTGCTCTCGCCAAGCTGCGTCTTGACACCCTCATTTGCACCCGCCGCCTGCCCTTCGGTGCCCATCGCCCTGGACCCGGCATTCTTGTCATGGATAAAGTAAGAAAATTGCGGGTTGGAGTAAAACGGTGGGCGGACCCGCCCTGTCTCGTCCACGTCGTCGACGAAGGGGTCAATCCCAGCAATGATGTCCCACGAGCCCTTGCTGTCCGGCCGGCTGTTGACGACGGCCTCGGCAAAGAGGTGATGCAGATCGGCCTCAGACATGAGCTGCAGCGAGAGCTTGCCCAGGTGATTCTTGAACTGGCGGCCGCTGCGGGCGACGTAACCGACGTCCGTCACGAAGCCGATGTGCATAACCGAGGCCGGCAGTCCCTGGGCGCGGCGCCTCCCGCATAGCCCTTGCATAAAGAGGTTCGCGGCGTGGTAGTTTGACTGCCCCGCGTTGCCGAAGACGCTGGCGAGCGAGGAGAAGAGCACGAAGAAGTCGAGCTTGGCATCGGGGCCGAATGCCTCGTCCAGGATCTTGGACCCCTCCACCTTGGGCGCGAGAACCTTGTTCAGAGACTCTGCTGTCATGTCAACGAAGAGCTTGTCCTCGAGGACCATGGCGGCGTTGCAGACGCCGGCGACGGGCGGCAGCTCAACCTTGATCTTTTCCAAGACGCTGTGAGCTGAAGATCGGTTTGAGACATCCATCTGATAAATTTTGACTGTGGCGGCAAGGGAGTTCATCTCTTGCAGCCAGTCGTGATCAACTTCAGCACTCCGGCTGGTGAGGGCGACGTAGCGGGCGCCATTTGTGACCAGCCATTTGCACAGGGAACGGCCTAGGTCGCCAGTCATACCGACCAAGAGATAAGACCTGTCTGGACGGATCGATCTTCCGGATTCGGGCGGCCTGGCGGTCACGGTCATCTCAGGTCGAGTCCAGTCTATTATGCTGGGATACCGTGTGCCTTTGGGGGATGCTCCTGCAAGAGTCTGGACATCCGTGGTAGCAGGGGCAGGCTCATTGAGGGAGCTCTGTACAGCATCGCGATACACTGAACTCAGGAGGTCCATGTCTGCTGATATTATAGTATCTTCGTCCAGATGGTGGACCAATGAGCCTTTTGGAAGGCTTGAAACCAGCGCCTTTGGTGGAGACGAGCCGACGGTGATAAAGCAACCCACGCTTCTCGGTATAGTACCGCGAATTGCTCGCTCGGTGGCATGCATGTGGACAGGAATCCATCCTTTGGGTGGTTTAGCCTGGGAAGTTGAGAAGAGAGCCTTCTTGTTCGACTTCTGCGACTGGATCTGGATAGCAGCAGCTAGGCTAGGGTTCGGCTCGTGTACCAGCGCCGAGCAGCCGTTAGGCACAATCTCCATGATCCTCCTCGCCAACACATGACTGGCCATCTCCTGAAGTAGGGTTGACGGGGAGATAACAGACTCGTCAGGTGTGGCAAAGAGCTTATCGTTGGGGGCACAGACGGATGTCGAAGCTGTGTTGGACACGGTGAGAACCACACTGCCAGAACCCCGAGCCCTGCCAACAGATAAATAACAGGACTTCCCGATAGATTGCGAGTACTGCACGTCCACGATTGATCCCTCTGACTTTGACAAGGGTGCGGCTTCTTGCAAGGCCAGTCGGCTTCTCTCCGGATCGACCACAACCTCTACTCGCGTTGACTGTCTATCGACTTGCTGCGTAATACTGCGACGGGTCGAGTTGAACCTCTCGTTCATGGCCACGTCTGGGACGATCCTCGGTATGAGGACCTTACCTGTCTCGAGCTTCAACTCTGGCTCGTTCGCGTAGAACACGTTGCGCCCTGCAAGATCTGATCGACCAGAAATGGCGAGACGAAGGAGGGTCGTGGCAACGACTGCTGGTGAGATCTCAGCTACGCCGTCCGTGTCAAGAAATTGCAGAGTGAGATGTGGTAGCTCTTTGGGCAGCGAGCGACCCAAACCGACCACCATATTAGACAGCGGATTATGGCACATGCTGCCGCTGGTGAGCCAGAGCACCTTCTGCGTCTGGGAAAAGAGCTGCTGTAACCGCTGCAGGCGATAATCTGTCATTGTGCTGGAAAAGAGGGGCGTGTCGAGCTCCGTTAGAGAAAGAACAAAGGTTTGCTGATCTATAGCTCCGAGGTCGAGGGTGTCAAAGCTGTGGACTACTTTGATCTGCCGCCATTGACGCAGATGGCCCTGGATTTCGTTGCTGAGCTTGGAAACTTCTGGAGTTTTCCCACCGATTATGAGAAGATCCCCTTGAGGGAATGACATCTCTGCCGACAGCGGTTCCCGGAGGATGCTGACTTGCTCGTCGATGGCCTGGCTTATGATGACAGAGAAAGTGTGCTTGGTCAAGTCTGGACAATCATAGGTCACAGCATCAACGCCGGAGAATCCCGTGCCCTTGAGCAAGCTGTCCCACTCAGGAATCGACACACCAGGGCCGAGACGACGGCCGTCTTCCACTCCAAGCCACCAGCCCGGCAGAGCTCCCATGGTATACGTTGCCGCGAGCGAGTCACCAGTGATCTCCATGAGGACGATGTAACCACCCGGCTTCAGGAGCGCCCTGGCATGCCGCACCGTCTCAGCCAGATTTCGCGTCGCATGGAGAACATTGGCGGCGACCACGACATCGTACCCGCCTTCCTGGAAGCCCTCGGCAGCCACGTCGTTCTCTACGTTGAGGACCTTGAAGATCATCTTGTCACGATGGTCAGAGAACTTCTCGGCCGCCTTCTGGAAGAACCCGGCCGAGATATCCGTGTACGTGTACGATGAGTAGCCCCCGAGCCCAATGCTGTCGAGGATGCTCCGCGTCGTGCCGCCCGTGCCGGCGCCGATCTCTAAGATCTTGGCCCGCGGGTTCTTGTGTGAGAGCTGCCGGGTGACGCGCGCGATGTAGGCGTTCAGCAAGCGGGCGTAGGCGCCGTCCGTGTAGAAGCGATTGAGCATGTTGTTCTGCAGCATGACCTCCAGGATCTGAGTATCTCCGCGGACGACTGACTCCAGGTTCTGGCTGATGGCAGCCATGAGCTCCAGTTCTATGCTATCAGGGAACTTGGCACGGAGGCCCTCGATTGTCGTTTGGTTGTCCGACAGCCATTCTTGCTGGGCTACGGCGGTCTTCCCGGATCGAACATCTTCCAGCTTTTCTTCGATGGCCTCAAACAGTCGTTGGTGATGCCAGGAGAATGTTTTGACGTCCTCAGGTGCAACACAACGGACCAAGTCTCGGAAGTAGAAAAGAGCTGTTCTCTCCATGGCGAATATCAGGTCGTGTCCATCAGAGCTGCCGCTCGCTTCCTCATATTTGACGACCCCGTTCGATATATCTAAATCCCAGACGGTCCGGGAAAATAGAAGTCTGTCATTGGCAGCCGTGGCATCAGATAGAGCCCTCCACCCCAGGCCCTCAACCTGAACGCTACTTGCAGTCCCCGTCGCGTCTCGGATGTGGATGTCGCCCTTCATAGACGAAGGCGAGAGCTGAGTTACAAATGCGTCAATGTTTGCCGTGGCTCCGGTGACAGAGAATTGGGGAAGACGACTTGGATCGATGATGATAGTCTCTAGCGTAGTTGGTAAGTACAGTGTACCGGTGGTGCCTCCGCTTGATGATACTAGCGGTGTAAGATTGGATTGGAACGCAAGATCCAGCAGGACCGGATGCACGAGGTATTGCGCACTACCATCCCCTTTCGACCAAGTGGCGGTGGTTCGGGCATAGTCCTGAACCCTCTCAATGTCAGAAAGGCCACGGAAAAGGTCTTGGTAGTCGAGACCCAGGCTCTTGGTGTGGGTGTAGAAGCTTTCGGGTTCCAACCGAGACATGCGGGACGAGGCCGTGGTAGCGACAGCCGGCAGTCCGGCATCGTGGGAGTCCCCGAGCAATAGCAGAAGACGCCCGCTTGCCGTCTTGTTCAGGGAGCCACCGGTCTCGTCTGCAAAAGTGTAGCTGCAGAACTCGGCTTCGATGACATCCGCATCTTCATTGCCGCCTTCGCCCAACAGCTTCAACGTGAACATGGTCTCGACGCCGGGCGAGGACTCCTCGACTACGATCGACTGATGAATGCAGACATTCCGAAGCTCTATGAGCTTAGCATGGCGATCAGTCACCAAATATTTTGATGCCTCGAGAGCTTGAACGACGTGTGCCGCCGCAGGATACAGAACCTGGCCCTGAAACTTATGGCCACGCAGCCAGGGTACCTCGTTGAGCCGCAGGATATTACGCCAGCGCATCTCGTAGTCCGTGTCGTCGGGAACTCTCCGGCCAAGGAGCTCGTGAGGTGCGCTCCTGCGGAGCCGATAGTTGCGAGATATACGCCCTTCCCTCCAATACCTCTTTCCGTGATCCCAGGCATAAGACGGGAGGCCCTTAAGCATTCGATGTGGTTTCGGGCCAAAGGCTCCGTGGTAGCCCTCGAAGTCAACGAATGAAGGTCCTAGGGTACACCAAACCTGGCCGAGAGCTTCTGAGAAGGTATCTATGGCGTCGGCACCTCGACGTAGGAAGGAAGCATACGGCGGCGAGGAGGAGAGGACCGACTTGAGAGTCTGAGTCGCGGGTCCTTTCAGCGCGGGATGCGGCCCTAACTCCATGGCCAGTTCGAAAGGGCCGCCGTTCCAGATCGAAGTCTCGATCGCGTCAGAGAAGAGAACGGGCTTCACCATGTTGTCGACCCAGTACTGTCCCGTGAGGGCCTCTAAGTCGTCGCCTTCTAGGACGGCATCGCCGAGGACACTGGAGCACCAACTGCAATCCGGTCGAGGCTCTTTGACGGTGATGTTACAGGCCTTTAGAGATTCGAGATAGGCTTCGGCACAAGGGAGCATGTGGTGAGAGTGGTACGCAGTATCGACGACTAGCCTCCTGGCAAAGGTCCCCTCCTGGTCAAACTGCTTCTTGGCCTCCTCGATAGCATCAAGGTCCCCGGATAGCGTGACGCTCGAGGGCGAGTTGCTCGCTGCCAACACAATGCGTCCCGACCAGTCCGGCTGCGCGCAAAAGTCAACCGCGGTCTCGGATGATATCGAAACCGCCAACATGCCTCCCTTTGTGCCACCAGGCCCTCGCGCGAGCTTCGCGTGGTAACCTCTGTAATATGAGATGGCCATGGCGTCTGAGGAAGAGATGACGCCGGCTGCGTAGGCCGCCACAATCTCACCCGAAGAGTGGCCGACCGTGGCGTTGAAGCGGAGTCCAGAAGCAGTGGCGAGGTCGACAATGGCTATTTGCACCGCGGTGCAAAGCGGCTGCGCGAGCTCGGCCTCTTTCAAGCGGGATGTCTCCTCTGAGGCCAGAAGCTCGGCCCGCAACGACCAGGACGGGGCATCAGCCAGGGCTGCCAGGGCTGCCTCGCTGCGCTCGATGGACTCGCAGAAGAGCTCGGACTGTCGAATGAGTGACGCCCCCATCGTTGCCCACTGCGCGCCCTGACCGGTGAAGATTCCCAGGATGGCAGGTGGATCATCGGGGTAGAGAAGTTGTGGTGAGCTGGATTCAGCCCCCTCATTGGTCTCGGCAAATTCATCCATGCGCTGCGTGAGTATTTCGTGGGTGGGCCCTGAGAAAGACTGCTTGAAGGGCATTGCTTCACGCTTCTGTTGGAGTGTCCAAGAAAGGTCATCCAAGTCCACGGTTGGATGCGACTTGATATATTCTGAGTACTTCCGAACCATATCGACCAGCGACGACGACGATTGCGCGGAAATCACAAGAGGTCCTCGGAACTCTTTCGTATTGGAAGGCGGCCGTGGACCAGACTCCTCATAGTCGTAACTCTCGAGAATGGCATGCGCATTGGTGCCACCGAATCCGAAGCTGTTGACGCTTGCCCGGCGGCAGGCGCTTTCTGTCGCTGGCCAAGGCATACCATTCTGGACGAGCTCCAGGTGCTTTGTGTACGGCTTGATAGCCGGGTTGAGTTCTTCAAACAGCAAGTTGGCCGGAAGAGTGCGGTTTTGTATTGCGAGCGAGGCCTTGAGCACACCGGCCAATCCAGAACAGCCCTCGAGGTGGCCGATAATGGTCTTGATCGACCCCACATACATCTTTTCCTCGCCACGGCTCGGTCCGTTCACTGGGAAAAAGGCATCTGCAATTGCTCGAGCCTCGATGGGATCCCCGGCCGCGGTGCCCGTGCCGTGACACTCAAAATACTGGCAGCGGTCCACGAGTGGATCCAGGCCAGCAGCTCGGTAGGTCGATCGTATCAGATCTGCCTGTGCTTCAGGGCTAGGCATAGTGATTCCGGCTGTCCGCCCATCCGAATTCACACCCGTTTCCCTAATCACGGTCTCGATATGATCACCGTCCGCCAGAGCCCGGCTCAGGGGCTTCAGGAGTAAGGCGGCACATCCTTCGCCTCTGGCATACCCGTCGCCAGATTTGTCCCACATACGAGACCGTGACTCGGGGGAAAGCATATGCAATTTCGACTCGGAAATGTAGATCGATGGGTCCAAGATAAGGTTAGCGCCTGCTACAATCGCAGTGGTCGCCTCGCCATTCCGCAGGCCCTGGACTGCCTGATGGAGTGCAACGAGGGAGCTCGAACAGGCTGTGTCGATAGTCATTGACGCGCCTTTGAGATCAAACAGGTATGAAATGCGGTTTGCAACAATGCTTCTTGACGTTCCCGTGGCCGTATATGTCCCGAGCGTCTCCGTGTCGCGCATCTGTAGGTCCGCCCAGTCTGCGGTCATGAGGCCCACAAACACCGAGGTCTTTGATCCCCTCACCTTCTCTGCCGATCCGGCAGACTCCAAGGCCTCGTAAACAGTCTCGAGGAGGATACGTTGTGCCGGATCCATGCTCTCTGCCTCGAGGGCGTTGATGTGGAAAAAGGGGGCGTCAAACACGCCAACATCCTCCGAAAGAAGGTAGGACTTTCCCTTGACATTTGTGCTGCCGTGGAAGTCAGGGTTGTTGTTGTAGAAGTTCCCAAGTGCTAGCCTATCCTCGGGGAACTCGCGCAGCACGTCTCGTGGATTTCTGAGCAGATCCCATAGCTTCGACGGTGAAGACGCACCGCCAGGAAAGCGGCAAGCGGAGCCAACAATGGCGATCGGCTCTCCTGGGGACGACATGTCGGGAAACCGTTTCGAAACTGCTCGGTCTGGCGGTGTGGGTGGGAAAATACAGAGATGATGTGGTAGTTTGTCCCTTATATCTCGTTCTCGCCGGGGCGGTTGTAGGTGCTGCCTCACAATGACCACTATTACATTACTGGTGGCGTCGATATCCAGAACTCGCAAACCGGGTGAAAAACACGCGAGGAACTCGATCGTGGCTTATACATACAGCCTCATTGCATAGGACTAGGACTATTTTTTGAATCCCTATTTAAGTCGGAACAACAGTAAGTGCACTACAAGGACAAGCTCATTGCATCTTCCGAGTCTGTGGAGATACCGGGCTCCGGGCTCCACACCGGCCAGGCACAAGGATAATGCCAGTGCTGTTCGCAAACCTACGCATCCATATCTACTACCGCATACAGCTAGCTTAGAGGTGTGTAGTCACTACCTAGGTATTATGAAATGCTAAACGGTCGTTTTCATTCCAATATCCTCTGTTGGCTCATTGCATTCAAACATTGATCGAGTTAGGATCAAAATATTAAGAGCGCCCTAAATTTAGCAGATTAATTTAGGTAAATACATTTGTAGACTATGTGATGAGAGTCGTTCAACAGCATCCGTAGACCGTATGCTAAAAATAGGGGCCGTGGGGCTCATTATACTTTGTGAACACAGTAGCTCTGTTGTTTTGCCGACAGAAATGGCACTGTGCTCCATCGCTATCATCGCCGACTGGCCCCCAAACTTTGTGCATCTTTCATTTTGCCGAGTATGAACAAGCACTGTGCCCCAGTGTGCTTATTGCCGACCACCGTCGGAAATCCACGCAGGTAATGCCTGCCTCAAACCACCTACATCGACAATGGACGGCCTCTGGATCCCCGGAACCATTCGTACCTGTTATATTGTCCCGCTATTTACATGGTCTCCCAATGACACACGGACTTGTTGGCTAGAACGACGAGTGTCATAGGACAAGTAACGGCCGTGGGAAGACCGCTGCTGTCGAGTGCTGCGCTTGGGTTCACATTCATGTCGCGGGTCTTGATCGTGGTTCAACTCGTACAGCACTGCACTTTGCACTAGATCATCACCTCTCTAATGTTTCTTGGGTTACTAGCGTATCCATAACTACCTCTGGTATTTCGTATTTTCCCCTTCTCTTTACTTGAAGTTGTGCCTTTCTGCTGGGTACCTGCCTAAGTGCTCAAAGGGACATGGCGGGCTTTACATCACGCCCCGTTCAGGATGAGGAGTCCTGGATCAGAGAACGCGACATGGCGATGCCTGACGCAGGAGTCGTTGCAAGTAACCAGGGCTACACGTCTCAAGAGCTCCTGTTTTGCCTGACGCTCGCATTCTTCTCGCTGGGCACCATATTTCGATCTGCACAAATTTCTCCGAGCCCAAATCGGGTTCTTAGAAGTTCTGGCCTCGGGTGGTCAAAACTGGTACGCGCAACAACGTCTGCTAGCTGGTAGTGATTTTACTAAACTATCACAGTGTATCGGTGTAGCATACGCTGTCTCAAGCACATTTGCTCTAGCAATATTGCTATTCTGGATCGGTACCGAGGACGAGAAGATCATCTTGATGGCATTTCTGCAGTGCTTTTCGTGCTGGTGCGTTTGCCTTACGTCGCGCGTGGAGCATTTGAAAACTGTCAGACCAAGCCATTTCCTGCAAGCTTCACTCGTCTTGAGTATTTTGCACGAGTTCTTCTGGCTGCAACAGCTCGAGTTCTTTCACAATGCAATCCTGGAGGTGCTGGGATACACGCATGCGGTTCTCTTGGTGGGACTGATCTGCGTTGAATCGTGCGACAAGAGACACATCTTCGTCCTCGAGGCGGATCGCAAACGGTCCCGGGAGGAGACAAGTGGATTTTTCAGGCAAAGGTTCTTTTGGTATCTCAACGGACTTTTCAGAAGAGGTATGCTTTCTCGCGATGTGGCCGAGGCGAAAGAGCACTGACAATTCCCTAGCATACCGACAAACCCTCAATCTGGATAATCTTGAGGGTGTTGACACAAGGCTGCTATCTGAGGAGGCGGCAGAACAATTCAAAGTATACTGGTCCCAACCCAGGCACCAGTCAGGGCGGCATGCTCTTCTACGTTCCATCTTCTTTGTATTATGGAAGGATTTGTGCATGCCAATCCTGCCCAGGTAAGTGACCTTTCCACTCGAGGTAGCTGGGAATTTTCAGTAACAAGTAAGAAAGACTTCTAGGCCTCACTGCCATGCTGACGCAGCCTTTTCTCATATCCGCAATCCTCACCCACATCCAGAACCCGGATTGGGAATCCGTCGTTGGAGACTACATGATGCTCGGTGGCTTCGCCCTCAATTTCCTCTGCTCAGCTGTGTTCAACGCGTGGTACTCCCATAGCACCACGCGTTTCACCGTCAAGCTTCGGTCTGTTATGATCTCCGCACTCTATGACAAGGCGCTCCGGGCAAACGGGCAGGGCGCAGATCTCGGCACTGCCACAGTTCTCATGAACGTCGACCTGGAAAAGGTACTGGAGGGAATGAAATGGGTGCACGAGTTCTGGGCAGTCCCCGTCGGCATCGCGGCGTCGTTGTACATCTTGCATACGAACATAGGGGTGGCCTCCCTCGTGCCGCTGGTTATCCTTGGCTTGGCTACAGCCATGAGCTGGGACATTGGGGACGTTATGAGGAGCCGAAATCTCGAATGGGTGACGAAGACGGAGAAGAGGGTGACGATGATGTCGAAAATTGCGTCTTCCGTGAAGGAGATCCGCATGCTTGGATTCACGGAGGTGCTTCATAATATCGCCACCACTCTCAGGATCGATGAGTTGTTAGCCTACAGGTAAGCCATCTGGATGGTACTAACAAACCGAAATCAGTATCGGATTTACTAATGGCGGTTGGAAATGCAGGTCGACCACAACTCTCTGGATATTCGTCGTAGCGACAGGTAAGCCATGTTCCTTTGACCACTCAAAGTGGATGATTGCTGATCTTTTCAAATAGGATACGCGATGTTTCCTATCTTGGTTTTCGCGACCTTTACCCTTGTCGCGGCGTCCAGCCTTCGCGGTGGGCACGTATTCAACGCTGAGGCCATGTTCGCATCCCTTTCCATTCTGAAGCTCATGGCCGCCCTAAGCCTCCCTTTCCTGCAGACAATGATCACCTGCCAAGGCGCTGGAGCATCGATAGACCGGATTCAATCCTACCTCATGGACGAACTAGAGACACAAGAGTCTTCCAAGGACTTGCGACTCCTAGAAGCTGAGACCGGCCACCACGCAGAGGCCGATGAGTATGGTTTCGAGCTTCAGGAGAACTCTGCAAAGCTCGGGCGTACATGGGCTTTTGAAATAACAGCCGCCGACTTCGGCTTCAGTAATGGTCAACCTCTTCTTCGAAACATCACACTAGCCATCGACACGGGCTCCTTTACTATGGTCGTCGGAAAAGTCGGCAGTGGCAAGTCCCTCTTGCTGTTGTCACTGCTAGGCGAGATGGCCGTCCTCGATGGACAAGCCAAACGCAGCTTTCCCGGCGCGAGCTTCTGCTCCCAGCCGCCATGGCTGCGCAACGTATCTGTGCGGGATAATATCCTGGGAGAGAGCGCGTTTGAAGCGGACTGGTACAGCTCGGTTATCTGGGCGTGCGGACTGGATCAAGACTTCCACGAGTTGCCAAACGGAGACACCACGCTGGTCGGTACCGGCGGAATGAGTCTCTCGGGAGGGCAGAAGAATAGGGTATCGCTCGCCAGAGCCTTGTATGCTAGGAAGCCGGTCATGGTCGTCGACGACGTCCTCTCGGGGCTCGACAAGACGACGGAGAAATTGGTGTTCTCGCGCGTGTTTGGCCGCAACGGCCTGCTGCGGCAGATGCAGTGCACCGTCGTGCTGGCGACGCACTCGGTAGGCTGGGCTGCGCAATCCGACAAGATCGTCGTCATGTCGGAAGGACGTGTCGTGGCCGACGGGCACTACGACACCCTTCTCAGGATCCCAGGGCTTTGGGAAAAGCATTGCTCTTCGCACAGTGGTACTACTGCGATAGAAGAGGATATCCCTATCCCGACCAAGACACAGGAGCTTGAGAGTAGCGAGAAGAGGGCGCCGCACGTCGACTCTGAGTCCAAGGAAGAGACGGGGGCTGAAGACGATTACAGACGCAAAGGTGATGCTGGCACTCTCATGTACTATCTCCTGGGCTTTGGTAAGATACGCATCGCGATATATATCGTGTTGTCGATCGCGACGTACACATCTAACGCTGCCCAATTCATTTGGGTCCAGAAGCTGGTCAAGGATAGCGCTTCTGTTGTCTTGCTCGGCCGAAGCATCGGTATTTTCAACACAATCAGCGTCTTTGCCTTCTCCGTCATTGGAATTTACCTTTCGTACTTCTTCCTGGTGCTCAGTCCTCGGTCAGGCCTTCGGCTGCACGCCAGACAGCTTTCTACCCTTATGAAAGCGAAGTTTACGGCGCTGGTCACCACAGACTCCGGCGAGATCACCAATCTATTCTCTCAAGACACAATCATTGTCGACAGACTACTTCCAGTCCTGGTGCTCAATATATCAACCGGTAAGTCGTGTTTTCGGCATTCCAAGAGACCACAGCTACATAACAACTGACACCTTAAACCTGGACAGGTTTCTTGGAGCAAACCAAAAACATAATTTTGCTCGTCGCCGCAACTCCTCCGATCGCGCTCATGATACCTATTCCAATTGCCATCGGATATATGGTGCAACACTATTATCTCCGTACTTCGCGGCAACTCCGTCATTTAGACCTCGAAGCGAAAGCTCCTCTGTGCTCCAACTTCATCGAGACGCTTGCAGGAAGCGCCACAATCAGGGCTTTTGGTTGGTCGGCTGATTTCAAACGGCGAAACAAGCAGCTCCAGGATGTGTCTCAGGCACCTTTTTATCTCCTCCAAGACGCCCAAAACTGGTTGTCACTTGTCCTTGACCTAATCGTCACCGGTATTATTTCAATCCTGGTGGGCCTGGCGCTGTTCCTCCGATCAAATACGGACCCCGGGTACCTTGCGCTAGCTCTTATTGGAGTGGTGAGTGACTGACCAGCCCTCTTTATGTTTGTGGTTGATACTTGTGCAGAAATGGTAGCTCACATTCCACCGACAGATCGACCTAGGTTTCAGCATCCGCATCCTAGTTCTCGCATGGACAGAGGTAGAGACGGCCATGAGCGCCGTTACGCGCATCCGCCTCTTCCTAGACAACACAAGCCAGGAGCCCATCAGACACTCTGACACCACGGACTCTCTTTGGCCACGGAACGGCGCCGTCTGCTTTCGCAACGTCTCCGCGTCCTATACCACGGAACCTTCCAGCGCGCCCACACTTCGTGGAATCGACCTCGACATAGCCGCCGGCGAGAAAGTGGGTATCTGTGGGCGCACAGGGAGCGGCAAATCATCGCTTGTTGCCACCCTTCTCGGCCTGACACACCTAATCGCCGGTGACATCCTGATCGACGAGGTCTCCACAGGTACAGTTCCGCTGGAAAAGTTGAGGAGGAGAGTAATCACATTGACTCAGGATCCCTTTTTCTTGGAAAAGACTGTCAGAGAGAATCTGGTGCCCTGGCGGGGTGTAGAGGAGCTCGATGAAGTCGTCGATGCGGACTGGTCGCAGCAGCATAATCCATCAGACGAAGATATGATAACTGCGATGAGGAAATGCGAGATCTGGGACAAGTTTGAAGGGGCTGCCCTGGAGGGCCAAACTGGACTCGACATAAGCATGGCTGGCGTGGACAGCCTGCTGAGCGAGGGCGAAAAGCAGCTGTTTTGTTTAGCCAGAGCCGTGTTACATCCGGGAAACGTTGTGGTACTGGATGAGGCGTCAAGCCGGTGAGTTTCCCGCAATTGATCTGCCGACACATTGTTGTCCATCGCACAAGAAAGACCTGCTGACAACAATCCACCGCGGCAGTGTCGATGCCAAAACTGAGGGCCTTATGCAGAAAATCCTTAGGACCGAGTTCGCGGATAGGACTATCCTGGCTATCTCCCATAGCATCAAGGCAGTCATGGACTTCGATCGTGTTGTTGTCATGGACGGTGGAAAGGTGGCTGAGGTTGATTCTCCAAAGGCTCTGATGGCGAACAAACGAAGTTTGTTTTCAGCGTTGGCTAAAGCACATGGCCCTGTTGGGGAAGAAGCAAGTCTGATTTGAACCAGCGGAGTATCATCTCACAAGCAATGGTAAATGTTTGTCAGCCAGAGACGAAATTCGAATGTAGATGCGGTATCTCTACCCATTCGCCAACTTAAGCACTAAGAATCAAATTCTCCATATTCCAAAGACATCAGAGACTCGCAACAACAAAAAAAGAAGATACAGCTATACTAGGCGCCTCAGAAGAAATTAGCACTAATAGGTTACTCCTTTTAGAAGGCAACACCTATTTATACCATAATAGGGTTCGAGGTCACTTGGAGAATTTTCGTTAATTCAACCCTTAAAGATAATAATCGCACCTATAAGTAATAGTTATAAAAGTCTTATAACGTAACACTCCTAGTTTCTCGATAGCACAATTTTATATCTATCCTTAGGTTCATCTCTACATTGTAATTGCTATGAGAAAATGGATAAATAATTGGGTCAAAGTATTTAAGAATTGCTGGTGGATGATACTAATCCTGGTGATACGCTGGCATCAGCAGGGGCCACGCAGATACGCCACAAAGGAGGCCCATCCTTACGGTGTAAGAAATGGTAAGTCTTGCATCAAAAAGCGCATCAGAAGCCGCCTGCTTCGAAAATCTACTTGCTATGCACGTAGGTGGTCCACCTACTCCGTACAAGTGCAATTCAGCCATAATGGAGGGAGCCACGAGCTGATACTACTGTAGATCAAGACAAAGGTGATGGAAATCCTGCAGAAAAGCTGTGCAGAAGCTTAGGCAAAGCTAATTAGACATTGCTTTTGGTTTGGAAAGACCTGTGGTGAAGGGTAAGACCTTGGTCGGGGCTGAGTAGGCCAAACAGGGCTGGACTGGGTCCTGGGCCTGGCTTTCTCGTTCCCGAAGCGGACCGCACGACTAAGTTCTTCCCGGGGTAAGTAGTCCAAAAGAATGGGTTTCTACTATGTCCGTGCAACATTACCATCCGATCGTTCCGTTTAAACAGTCAAGCTCGGCCTTGTCTGCTTCTCCGAGCCCAACTTCCAAGCTTGCCGGACATTTCGGCCTTTACTTCGCCCCTGGACCTTGTCAGAACGCATTGGCGAGCTCCCCCGGTCTTAGGGGTTCCAAACGTTAAAATGTGGACCTCTCCACCCTGAGTCGCTCTCGCTGCAAGTCACTGACTGTGATCTACTGGGTCCAAAGTTCCCAATAAAAAAGGCGGTGCACAATTGGAAATTAGGCTTCCACGTGGATGCGTATAGCCGGTTACCGCGTGCAGGTATGGCTAGACAAGTTCGAATTTCCGATACTCTAGCAATGGTCAACACCAATCGACTGCAGCCCGGCAATAGACCTCGTCATCCGAGAAGAGAAGATGCTGAGGGTAGTAAGGCATGTTGTTGTTTTATCCTGGTCAAAGCTCGATATTGGAAAAACTGTAATGGGAATTTGATATTCGTCTGTGGAAATGCAACCACTGGCCGGGGCGTTCATCCGAACAGGGCGCTGCTTATAGCCATAAACAGCATTGATGCTGGACTGCTTGCCAAGTTGAATATCGCATCTAATTAACTCAGCACGCAGTCTCGAAGTTGAGAGACACGCCGTCTTTCTTTGCCCCATTACCAATAGACCCCGATGCCCTAGCGTAGGGTAGTTGTCATGCTATAAGATTCCTCCTCAACATCACTGCGTGGTGCTATTGTTCAACACATTGGCCGCGGACTGCGTCAAAGAATATCTAATAAGCCCTCAACCGATCAAACGCAATATTACGACCGAAAATGCAACAGTCTCAATACGCCTCTCGAATGGACACGCGCCAGATATGGACGTGGAACGCAACGGTGCCAGAGGCCATGGATGGCCTGGTCCACGGTCTTTTCGTGGAAAAGGCGAATGAGGCACCAGATGCATTGGCGGTGGACGCATGGGACGCCAGGTTCACCTACTCGGAGCTTGATAGGGCCACGACACGGCTAGCAAGCCATCTCGTTCACGTCAGCCGCGTCGAACCCGGCATGATGGTACCAATATGCTTTGAAAAGTCTGCCTGGGCTATCGTGGCCATGTTATCAGTGCTCAAGGCTGGTGCTGCGTTTGTTCCTCTCGACCCAGCCCAACCAGCCCTTCGAAGGGCAAAAGTCTTGAGGCAGCTAGGCGACCGCGCAAAGGTAGCAATCGCATCAGTCTTACACGCCAAGACATTGGAGGAAGACGGCCGCACAATCATCGTCGTTGGACCGTCTGAACTCGGACACCTACGGGAAGAAGCTCTGCCGCCAATATCTGTCGGTGCAGACTGCGCAGCTTATTGTTTGTTCACATCCGGCAGTACCGGAGAGCCCAAAGGCGTCGTTATGGAGCACGGCGCGATTGTGTCAAGCCAGGTCCGTCGACGCGATTTCAAGGGATACAACAAGGATTCCCGAGTTTTTCAGTTTTCATCCTATACTTTCGACCCCTGTATCGACGAGATCTTCATGACTCTCGGTGTCGGAGGCTGCATTTGCGTACCCTCTGAAGAAGACAGGATGAACAGGCTGGCATCGACAATTAATAAAATGTCCGTCAACCTACTCGAGGTTACTACTACAGTGGCGGGACTGATCAGTCCTGACGAGGTTCCGTTGGTCAAGACAATCATCTTCGGCGGAGAGTTCTTGTCCCACGCTGCATGCGCACCATGGGAGGGTAAGGCCCGTGTAATCAACTCTTACGGCCCAACCGAATGCTGCGTCGACTGCGTCTTCACCGATTTCACAACCAGGTCGACACCCGGACTCATCGGTACAAGCGCCGCGTCCGTTACGTGGGTCGTTGACCCTGATGACCACAATCACCTGACGCCCATCGGCTTGACTGGAGAGCTCTTGATTGAGGGTCCAGTCCTGGCAAGAGCCTATCTGAACAGCCCAGAAAAGACGGCAGAAGCATTTGTACAAGATCCCGAGTGGTTGATCTGTGGAGTTGACGATCGACCTGGCCGCCAGGGTAGGCTATACAAGACTGGCGATCTGGTCAAGTACACTACAGACGGCAAGCTTTTATACGTTGGGCGCAAAGATACTCAAGTCAAGATCCATGGACAGCGAGTTGAGCTGGAAGAGATCGAGTCCCAAATTCTGGAGTACGTGCCACATGGCAGTGGTGTTATCGCTGAGGTTGTCTCTTACGGAGACGGCACAGAGGCACTTGTGGCCTTTATTCGTTCTTCCAGTGAGAAGACTTCGTCAGAATTCTATGGCAATAGCGATGCTCCAATATCTTTGGAGCCTATGGCCAATTCTACTTCTCTGCAGAGGAATCTTTCCAAGGCCTTGCCCGGATACATGGTGCCCGCTGTCTTCTTCTCCAGTCGAGCTTTTCCGATGACTACCTCCGGGAAGATTGACCGCAAGTTTCTCCGAGAAGCAGCCTCACAGCGCGGGATGGTCCACAACACCGGCGAGACCGCGCTTCGACCCATCAGCAGCAGGGAGCAGAAGCTCCAGCAGATATTTGCCGATATTCTGAAGGTGGAAAAGTCGAAAATCAGCGTCAACGATAGCTTCTTTGAACTTGGCGGCACCTCGGTCGCTGCCATAAAGCTTGCGGGCCAGGCACGGAAGCAGGGGATGAAGCTTGCGGTCGCGGACATCTTCCAGCATCCAAGGCTCTGCGATCTTGCGGCAAAAGCATCTTCGAAGCCCAGCAAGAAAAAGGATATTTCGGTAGCTCCCTTCTCTTTGCTTGGATCACCCGAAGAGGGTCGACTTGTTAGAGATCGGACGGCAGAATCGTACAATCTGGAACCGGATGCCATCGAGGATCTATTTCCATGCACGCCGCTACAGGAGGGTATGTTATCTTTGACCAGCCGCGACACCGGCAGTGAGTATATGATCCAGCGGGTCCTCCACATTTCGCCCAACATGGATATTGGGCGGTTCCGCTCTGCCTGGGAAACTGTCGTCGAACAACTCCCGGCCCTGCGCACCAGAATTTTCCTCGCTGATGATGGAGGAAATCTGCTTCAGAGTTATGTCAAGGATGCAGTTCACTGGAAGCAGGCGAACGACTTGGACGAGTATCTGAGGTGCGACAGAGCTATACCCATGGAGCTGGGAGATCGGTTGGTGCGGTACGCCATCGTGGAGGAAGGCCAAGAGAGGTATTTCGTCTGGACCATCCACCATTGCATCTACGACGGCTGGACAATGCCGCGCATGATTGCGTTGGTTGAGCGCGCATACGCTCAGGAAGCCCTGAGCATCGGGAACCAGGCCAACTTCAACGCTTTTGTGAAAGGCTTCCTTAGCCGCAATGTGGACGAAGCCAGAAAGTTTTGGACATCGTATCTTTCAGGCTCTGAAGCCACGAAACTCCCAAATCGCGTCTACAAACCGGATTCAGCAGACTCGAGAGGGTTTGCAGAGTGTCGCCGGCCACTCCCACTCAGCAGAAGCAAGAATCACGTTCCGACTACCATAATACGTGCAGCGATGGGAATTGTTCTCAGCCAGCGTACGGGTTCAGACGACATCGTCTTTGGAACCGTCGTATCCGGTCGGCAAGCAGCAATTGACGATATCCAAGACATCATGGGTCCCACGCTTGCGACTGTTCCGGTCAGGCTCCGGATAGATTCTAACATGACCAAAGGGCAATTCTTGGATTCCGTGCAGAACGACGCCATAGCAATGGTACCATATGAGCAGGAAGGTATTCAAAGCATCGCCGGCTTTGACTCATCCTGCCGAGACGCTTGCAATTTCCAGATGTATCTGGCTGTACAGCAGGATGACCCCGACTCTTTCGATTCTGGAGCGCTTGGTCAGTGGCAGAGCGAGTTAGGGCGCCCAAATGGGGTGAGCACCTATCCCATAATGGTCGAGTGCTATTTGGAAGGCGATGGTCTTAACATCCAAGCGACCTTCGACCAAGAAACGGTCTCTTCGTCGGAAATGGACAGGATCATCAACCACTTCATCTACGTTTTGGAGCAGCTTTTGCAGGGGGATCTGTCCCATAGGCTGGCTGACGTCGAACCGGTGTCACCGCATGACCTACAGCGCATCTTGGCATGGAACGACACCGTCCCTGTTCTTGTCGAAGAAACGCTCCACGACATCTCCTTGAGAAAGACTCGAGAGACACCCGACGCAATGGCCGTCGACGCATGGGATGGGCGCCTGACGTACTCGGAACTGGACCTCGCCACGTCACACGTTGCAAACCTTTTGGTTCAAGCCGGCGTCGGACCGGAGATTATGGTACCTATATGCTTCGAGAAGAGCATCTGGGCTGTCGTGACAATGCTGGCCGTCCTGAAGGCTGGCGGCGCCTTTGTCCCCCTCGACCCAAAGCAGCCGAAACTTCGGCGGGAGACGGTTCTCAAGCAAATTCCGTGTCCGGTGATGGTCGCATCCGCTGCGAATGCTGGCTTGCTAGAGGCAGATGGCCGCGCTGTCATGGTCGTTGGACCATCTATGCTCAACATTCAACGGCTAAGGTCCGACCCGGGTCATGGGTCCAACGTTCTCAAGAATATCAGCCCTGACACAGCAGCGTATATACTCTTCACTTCTGGGAGCACCGGAGAGCCCAAGGGTGTTGTCATACAGCACCAAGCAATTACTTCTAGTCTCCTGTCACGTGCAGAAGGTCAAGGGTACGGTCCTCAGACTCGCATCCTCCAATTTGCCTCCTACACCTTCGACGCAATGGTGGACGAAATTTTCATGACGCTGGCATGCGGCGGATGTATTTGCATTCCATCAGATGACGATGCTATGAGTGACCTGAATGGGTCGATCAGGGATTTTGGAGTGAATAGTCTGGCTCTGACGGCTACTATACTTCGCCTGATAGGGCCGGAGGAGGTCCCCGACGTCGATTCGGTCATTTTCTGGGGTGAAGCTGTCTCACAGCAAGACTTGAAGCGGTGGACTCGGGTCCCGAGGAGGCGGACACCAAGAATTCAGGTTCGGTATGGACCAACCGAATGCTGCGTTACCTGCACTCATTACGAAGTCGACCTCGACAGGCTTCCCCGAGGAAACCCCATCGGGAAAGCAGTTGGTTCAAGGGCGTGGGTCGTGGATTCAAACAACCACGATGAACTCGTCCCCATCGGGGGGATCGGGGAACTGCTCATGGAGGGCCCAGCGCAGGCTCGTTGGTACTTGAACGATCAGGCCAGAACCGATGCGGCATTTATCTACGACCCTAATTTCCTTATCCACAACTCCCGTCTTGATCAAATACAAGCTGGAAAAAGGAGGCTGTACAAGACTGGTGACCTCGTCAGGTACGACGATGATGGGAATCTCATTTACATGGGGCGCAAGGATGCGCAGGTCAAGCTCAACGGCCAGCGTGTGGAACTTGGAGAAATCGAGTCGCACATTGCCAACTGCATCTCGGGTGCTTCACAAGTCCTCGCTGATATAGTCACTCTTGAGGGCGGGAAGCGTGTGCTGGCGGCGTTCGTCAAGTTTGATACCGACGACAAGACAACACCTACGGAAGGCCAGCTGGCCAAGGCACTCCCAACTGCTGACAAGCTCGAAATCGAAAACAAAATGTCTCAGCGTGTCCCGAGGCACATGATACCCACACTGTTCTTCGCCATCCAACGCGTCCCCCACACACTCACCGGCAAGCTAGACCGCCGGTTATTACGTGACGAAGCAAAACGTGCCGGGCTGCAAGGTAATCAGCAGGAGAAGGATGAAAAGGCCACATCTATCCCGATGACTGAACGCGAGAAAAAGATGCAGCAGGTCTGGAGCAAGATCCTCAACCTGGAGCTTTCGGCCATACACGTGGATGATACTTTTTTCCAGCTGGGTGGTCACTCAGTAACTGCGATGAAAGTGGCGGCCGAGGCCCGAAAACACAAAATGAGTGTCACAGTGGCGGATATTTTCCAGAACCCACGCCTGCGTGACCTGGCTGCGGTGGCCAGGTCCTCTACTATGAACCAACAAGACGCTACCATCACGCCGTTTTCATTGCTTCCGAACCCTTCGGAGAGCCTTAATCTTTGTCGAGAGATAGAAGCGGTGCACGGGCTCGAACAGAATGCGATTGAGGATCTTCTGCCGTGCACCCCTCTCCAAGAAGGCCTCCTCTCGTTGACCAGCGGCGACACTGGAGATTACGTTGCTCAAAGGGTTCTTCGCATCTCGGACGACATTTCACTGGACCGGCTGCGCGATGCTTGGGAGGTCGTCGTACGCGCTCTTCCCATACTGAGAACCAGGCTCTTCTTCACGAAAGACCATGGCATTCTCCAAGGTGTCTTGAGACGGGGAATCGAATGGACCCACGCAGAAAGCCTCGAAGACTATTTGCAGTCAGACATGGCCAAGTCCACGGGGATCGGCGAACCTCTGAGCCGGTATGCAATCATCAATGGCCAGTCTGGCCAGGGAAGGTGGCTCGTGTGGACAATGCACCACAGCCTCTACGATGCGTGGACGTTGCCGCGTATCCTGGAAATGGTCGAGCGCGCCTACAGAGGCATGAGTCTCGGGAAGCATGTTAGCTTTTCTGTCTTCATCAAGTACTTCATGAACCGGGACAAACAGAAGACAAGGCAGTTCTGGCAAGATTATCTGTCCGGCGCCGGCCGTCTTAGACTCGTCAAACACGGTGAAACGACCGAGCCCCCTTCGAGAGGGTTCCTTCAGAGCGAGCGGGCCACGAAGTTCAACAGCGACCACCATGTCCCTGCAACCTTCGTCCATGCAGCTGTGGGCATCGTTCTAAGTCAACTTTCTGGCGGAGTGAATGACGTGACGTTTGCGAGCACAGTCTTTGGCCGAGCCTGTCCGGTAGATGGCATCGAGAACGTCATGGGTCCAACCATCGCAACAGTTCCCGTGCGGGTCCAATTCCAGCATGGACAGACAGTCAAGGATCTTCTCGAGAGGCTGCAAAACCACGCTGCATCGATGGTCCCGCATGAACAGGAAGGGATCCAGAATATCCGGCGGATGAGCCAGTCTTGCCGGGACGCATGTGAGTTCCAGGCTTATCTTGTAGTGAAGCAAGACGACCCCGCGTATCCCGATGAACCCGGTTCTGGGATGTTTGGCGAATGGCAAGAAGGACCAGAACAGAGCGAGCTGACTACGTATCCCATCATGATGGAGTGCCGCGTCCACGACGAGGGATTCAAAGTCCGAATGAGCGTCAGCACTGAGGTGGCGTCACTGGAGGGTATGGGTTTGCTCATGGATAGATTCCATTCTGTCTTGGAGAAGCTTTTGCAATCGAGCTCTGCGAGCACTTTGCAGGAAGTCATATCAACACCGACATCGGGACTGAAGCCGGTTTGGGAAAGGGATCTCGAGCATGATCCTCTCAACGGCAATGCCCGCGTCCAACCAGGCTTTGGCGACATTCTTCACAGCAGACCGAATGGGCAACCGCCGCCTGTGACGAACGATATCTTGAGGCCGGCCGGTAGACCCGCAGAGATACTTCACCGTATCTGGGCTGAGGCTCTCGGATTGGATCCGTGGACCTTTAGTATAAACGACAACCTCTTCCACCTGGGTGGTGATTCAATTGCGGCTATGAAAGTCGCTGCTGCTGCCCGCACCTATGGCTGCAAAATCACTGTCTCGAATCTCCTCAGGTTCCCTACTATATCCAAGCAGCTGTCTCATTTCTCAATCTCGTCCCGGGAGGAAACTTCTGCAAACAATGGGCACGTGAGCGGTTCGGCAGAGAAGCTTCAGCACATCTGGGCCAGCGCTCTGGGACTGAAACCAACTGCAATCAGCGTGGAAGATAATTTGTTCCATCTGGGCGGTGACTCGGTTGTCGCTATGAAAATCGCCGCCAATGCGCGTGCCTCCGGCTGGAGCATCGCCGTCTCGGATATCCTCAAGTTCCCGACCATATCCCAACAGCTTCCATATTTCTCAGCCCGGAAGGCTTTAGAGCCGGTCTTGGCCGTCCCGCGTCCTTACTCGTTGATACCTTCCGGTCTGAAAGAAGAGGTCCTCGAACGCCTGGGCAAAGAGGGATTCCGGAACGACGTGCTCGATATCCTGCCAACTACCGATTTCCAAAGCATGACCGTCACGGACAACATCAAAGCTCCATGGACGGCCCGAAATTTCTTTTCTCTGGATCTGGGGTCTTCCGTCGACTCCGAGAATCTCCAAGATGCTTGCAACGCCCTCGTCAGCCACCTTGAGGTCCTCCGGACCGTGTTTGTTTGTGCCAGGGGAAAGACGTGGCAGGTCGTGCTCAGGAGCCTCCCAGTCGCGCTGACGACGATCACGGCGACGAATGAGGACCCCGCGGAACTCCACAACAAGATCAACGAAATCGCTCAAAAGAATTCCTCCTTCGATCATCCGGTCGTGTCTTTCACACTGGCCCACACACCCAGCGTCGGCTACAAGCTCATCATAGGGATCTCACACGCCCAGTACGACGGACTATCAGTCCCCTTGATCCTGAGAGTGCTCGAAAGCGCGTACAACAAAACTCCGGTACCCATCTCAACCCCTTTCTCAGCATATCTCAATCTCCAAGACAAGCGCCGCTCCTCGTCCCGCGCGTACTGGAGGACGCTGCTCAAGTCCTCGAGTCTCACACAAGGATTGCCAAGACTATCCGCCGACCTGTCTCCCAACGTGCAGCCTCGCAGGATTGAAGCCGGAGGGATGATAAAGCTGGCAGAAGCCATCCCCGAGGGCTTCACCCTCGCCGTAGTGGCCAACCTGTCTTGGGCGTTGCTCCTGCACACCGCCACCGGGAACGACGACATCGTCTATGTGACGCTGGCCTCAGGCCGCAGCCACCCTGTCCGCGGCATCGAGGGTGTCGTGGGCCCATGCATCACCCTCGTCCCCGTGCGACTGATCTTCTCCAAGCTGTGGGCGGCCTCGGAGCTGGCCACATCTGTGCAGGAGCAGTTCCTGGCCCTTGACCAGGGCGACACCATGGGCATCGACGAAATCCGCGCGCAATGCACGGACTGGCCCGCACAGCCCGCTTCCGACTCCGTCTTCTTCCACCAAGGCGTGAGCGACAGCCCCGAGCATAACCTCGCGGGGGCGCCGGTCAAGGCCCAGCTGTACCTGAACCCGGCGGTTGAAATTAAGAGGACGATTGTGACGACGACACAGCTTGATGAAGGCCTTGCCGTTAAAGTCCAGAGTTCGAGTACTTTGATGACCGAGAAAGATGCTTTTGCACTGGTCGACGCGTTTTCTGCTGCCTTTTCTATTGTCTGCAGGAACCTGTAGACTGATTCCTCCGTTTACACCACCCGAATCGGCCCAGTCAGCCGCGGAAGCTCGAAGTAAAGCGTTCCATGGTAACGGGCCAACACAGTCAACTTGAATCTCTGAGGTCACAAAGCAACTTCATGTCAAATATTATCCTCGCAGCTTGTTGAAACATCGTATTTATGGAAGTCCAGCCAAATGTCGAGCTTCAATTGAGCAACATCATCTTGGCACATGACCAGGCGTGCGCGTTTCTGGGGTTCGAGTTGTCTTGTATTTAGAATTTTAGAATCCATCTTCATTCACACACCTGAATTTCCCCGAGTAGAGCATAAATGTTGCGCTCAAAAATTGTATCTTGCCATGTTCTATGCCATGTTGGAGCTATTACTAATGAGCAACACAGGAAAAGCTTTCTTAAATCCTTGGAATATCTCACCATGAACTGCAGTTCAACAGTAGCTAGGTAGCGTCAGAGCCCAGGGCGTATAGCGAGTTGTGGGCTAAATCGAATAGCACGACAGCGATACCACTACCACACCTCAGACCACTTAGATGAGTTGAGTTATGGACTGGACTAGAAATTGATCTCTAATGTTATGAGGTTGCGGTACATACTGTGCGGGCCACAGAGGCTTGTTCCCTGCCCGCAGTGCATTACATTAGGAATTTCTCCACACAAAAATGAACTCTTCTTTGTTCTCTATTTCGTATTGGATTTCCTCTGATCAGAACAATCGCGCATTCGTCAAGATCCAGTCCTCTTTTCTACTCTGTTCCTCCCCCTTATCTTCCCACACGTCAGAGTGGCTCCTAGGGTGTCTGGCAGAACGCGAGCCTAGCCTATGCTTGGGTGCTTGTTTTTTAATACTATAAATTTGGCTTGCGTCAAAAGCGAGTGATCTTGGAAAGTGTTGCTGACTTAGGCATCACGGATAGGATCTGTGAGAGCGAGGAAGCTACTTCCGTGATGCTGTCCTTCGAAATAGTCTGAGGCGAGTAGTGCAGGCTAATCTCAACTTTATCCGACCGCTCAAGGGATGCGGTGATATCGAACTATATAACGCGTCAGGACCCGTTACTTCGTTTTCGGCTGGGAGTCTTTAAACTTACCTCAGAGTAAGACTTCCTGCCTACCAGGCTCAGTGACACAGTGTCGTTTCCAATGACATCCAAGTGAAGTGGTCTGAACATAACGGCAGTGTTGAACAGACGCGAGCGCCTCATCCCAAGAGCGTCGTAGATATTTTGGAGCGGCGTCGTCTGGTGCTCTGCGCTCTCCAGGAATTGCCCCCGCATCGTCTGCACAAGCCCGGAAACGGACTGCGAATGACCACTGCCGAGTTGCGCGCGGCAGACCAGCGTGTTGATAAAAGGCCCCATGGTGTCCTCGACCTGTGGAATGGGCAAATCTCTCCCAGCTGTGACGTACCCGAAGCAGACATCATCCATGCCCGTGTACTTCCGGAGGACCAGTGCCCAGGCTGCCTGGACAAGGTTAAATAGCGTGATGTTGTTCCTCAGACAAAAGGCGTGAAGAAGTGAAGACCGCAGATTGGGCACGGGAACTGCCAGCTGCTGATTGTTTTCGGCGTCACTGCCGAGCGGGGTTTGCGCCGTCGGGAACAGACATGGCTGGGCGTCGGACAGCAGTCGTGTCCAGTACGTCAGGTGCGCATCCTGGTCGTCTTCTTGAAGGAATGCGATGTAGTCGCTGTACCGCGGGGCCGGCGTCGGCGGCAGCTCGCCTACATACGCGCTGGCCATATCGCGCATTATGATGGCCACGGATATGCCATCGGTGAGGGTGTGGTCGATTTCTAGTCGGCAGAGTATGCTCCCTTTGTCCCTAGGAACCAGAGTGAGCCGGTGAGCGGGCTGGTTCTCGGGGAATTCGAGAAGCTCGGGGAAATCTCCAAGCGATTCTCCTTCTCGGATGTCCGCCGACCACTGCGAGAGGACTATTTGATCTGAGAAACGACCGTATTCCACGCTCTCTACAAGTATGCTCCTCAGGATGGGGTGCCGATCGACCACTTGCTGCCAGCACCGGCGGACAAGGCTGGGGTCGACCGCATCATTGTCCCGGACTGGGTGGATACAAATTGTGGCGACGACATTGTAATCCGGTGCCGAGGGGTCCATCTTGCTTAGCTGGATTCCCTCCTGCATAGGGGCGGAGGGGCATATTTCCTCCACATCGGAAATGTCGACGATGCCGACTTCTTCCAATTTCTCATCAAGATATTCCTGAAATTCCTCTTCGTCCATCCGTAGAAGGTAGAAATTTCTGTGCGTAGTTAAAGGAGCCATTATCTTTGTGGCGGCGTAAAGTTAGATGCGAGTGACTTGCGACGAATGCACAGGTTGATCGTTCCGTAGGCGAGGGACATAAACCTGTCATCTGATAATATGATTATCTCACACCTTAGCCTCAGACACTGAGCATGGTTTTGAATGAGCGCCACTTCATGAAGTATGGGACATGTGGGCTTAGGTAGCCCGTAGGAAGGCGTCGAAAACCCAGGACGGTAAGCAAGTAGAGTCGCATCCGTATTGCCGACTGCCCGGAATCTCGGGAAAATGGACAATACTGGCCATTCTGACAGCTCTTGCATGACTAATGTTGGCCACGAAGCCACTTCTCAATGCCGTTGTCCCTGGTTGCGGGTATTGACTCCACATTTCTTGTCCGCTCCAAGTCAGTTTATCCATATGCACCACCCATTCATGGATAGGGGCTTTGACGGCCCCATCTAACCTCGAACTCAAATCGCTCCGCTAATATCAATAATAGATATTCACTAGCTTGATCTCAAGGCTTCGTCCCTAGTGTACCGACACAAATAGTAGTTGCTTGACACGAATATGAAACTCAGATGTGCAGCAGCCGGCACCTGAGAAAGGATGTGATGTACAATCTTTGCTTGGAACAATCCCTTCGGCCCTTAGACAGGGCATGCCCGCACGCATTGATATTAAAACAATATCAGTAGATATAGAAATAAATTATATTTCCCATCATTCGGCATATAAGGCTGGTGAGGTACTTTAATAAGCTAACTATAGGTAGGGAGGCTATTCATTAACTTTCTTTTAATTTAAAAAGGCACCTATATAGTAGGTGGTAGTAGTTATATTAGAATATATCTTAATAACGTTTTACCTTTTAATAGCGGTATTAACTTAGATCTTATATTATATAAGTAATATAATAAATGTTATTAATATTTTTTAAATAGTTTTTATAACTTATAATAAAAGAAGGTTTAAATTATTTATAAATGATTATTAATTTAAAATTAAAGTTATTTAAAGAATAGTATAAAGGAAGTAATAAAGTTATAATTATATATTATAAGAAGTATAGAGGTTATTTAAATTAATAAGATAAGTAAAGTATATAAATCTATTAGTTAATCTTATAAATATTTAACTTATAGCTTTAATAACTTTTATTTAAATAAAATAATAAATAGAGTATATATCTTACTTTTATTATAAGGAATTAAAAGGTTATTATTAAAATAAAGATTTATTTATAATTAAATTAAAAGAAGTAATTCTATTATTCTTTTAATAATTATATATTATTTTTATACTTTTATAATAAAATATTTAAACTTTTAATAATAATATTAAATATAATATTTTAAAAATAAAAATAATAAATAATTTAATAATATATAAATAATAATAAAAAGAAAAGAAATTTAAATTTATTTTTAAAGAAATTATAAATATATATATAAAGTTATTAAAGATTTTATAAACTTATAATTAGAAAAGAAATAAAGTATTATATAATATAAAGAAGGAGTATAATATAATTAAAAATATAATTCTATTAAAATTTATTATTATTAATTTTATTATATATTAATTATAATTATTATAAAATTTATTATTATTATTAAACCTTTTAATTATTAAAATTAAATAATTATTATAATTTAAATTCTCTTTATTTAAATTTTAACGTATTATAGAGCCTATTATTTAATTAATTATTAGTTAAAACGGACTTATAAAGTGATATACTATAAACACTTAAGTTAAAAACTATAATTTTAAGTTACTTTAAACTTAAAATCCACTACTTATAAGCTCGTATTATTATATAAGTTTATTAAGTTAAAATTATATAACTGTTTAATAAATAAGTAAAATTCTAATAACTCCTTTATAAATACTTATATATTAACTTATTATATAAAGTAAACTTTTATTAATAGGTAATACTTACACTATATTTAGATTAAATAATATAAAAAAGCTAGATATTAAATTTAAAATCTATATTATAATATAAACTTAGTAAGCTACTTATTATATTTTAAGATAATAGAAATATAATAAATTAAATAATTATTTTTATATAATTATATTTATAAAATAAAATTAAAATTATTAAAGAAATAATAATTTTATTTATATTTATTTTAATTAATTTATTTTTTAAAAGTTTAAATTATATTATAATTTTATATATAATATTTAATAATATAATAACTACTTTATAATTTATAATAATTTTAATTAACTTATTACTTTGAGTTGTGCCTCCGTATTTCCATTATACTCGAATCCTCCTGCGCCGTGCGACCTTGATTCAACTTGCTGTCCGCTCGCTTACTTACCATGACTACCTCATAGTTAACCTGATTATCATTGCTCTAGTCGAAACCCAAGGGCACTCTCTCATTTTGGAGTTCCTGCTCAGCCAGTACAGGCAATAGGGAGAAGAGTCATATACACATGGTTGATTTTACAGCCCCGTCACTGGATGGTTTCCAGTCACTAGACTATGATGAATGGAGGGTTGGATTCTAACTCATTGGCCTCGAATCTGACGGTGAATATGAGATTCTCCGGAGCATCCTAGACACGTAAGCACAACAGGCTTCGTGAAGGTCTCAATCGCTTCTCGTAGTGAGGGTTGCGATTTGAGGAACAGCAAGTGCATGTAAATAATCAATGCCTCTTCCAGTACATTCGTACGTTGCAAACAATTCATAAAGCTCTCCAAATCATCCCAATCTCTTCAAATCAGTATGACTTCCATGGTGATACTCGCCAGGCTCCAGCATTAACTCGATTAGCTTCCCCAGTCACTCGAATCCGGGCCTCCACATCACTTTTTGCACACCCACAGTGACATTGTGGCTCCGAGCTGGCAGTCCACATGTTGCGAGCCAGTCCAGTTCTGCAGATGTGACGCGAAAGTATGATTTATTCCCGCAAAGTCACAATCTAAAGCAAATTCCTGTGATTCATGCTTCTCAGTATGTATAAAAAGTGCCGCTGTCTGCAGTCTCCCACCATCCCTCTTCCGTATCCCACCAATACACTCTCGTGCCGACGTGAAGTACGAAAATTCTAGACTGGGAAACGAAAGAAGCCCTAAGACGCAGGCAAGATAACCCTCTAAGAGGGGCCATACAAAGCAGCAAGACCTCCCAGAAGAATCAAGAAAGACGACCAGGGAGACACCCAATCCATCGAGATTAACTTTGGTCAGGTATGAAGTGCTCCTCATGTACCCACGCTATCCAGTACACCCTGCTGACGCCTCAAGTTACATAGCGACAATGTGTACCAAGCAGAGGAAAATCTGGCGGGGAAGCTGCAATCATTCTATAAAGGTTGAGAATGACAGATCAGCCCCCTGCGCGGCTGCCAATGGTGTATTTGGAGCCTGTGGAAATCTGGAGCGGCTTGCAGACGCTGTCATAATCCAGCCGCACCGGTGCTTCAACTGTCAACCCCCGAATTGATACAGCCGAGACAGCAATACCGGCAGGAGACGGCGAAGATGGGGATCTCCACTAAGTTTTGGATGCCATGAGAGGGGGGCAAAAAGGATTTTGGGCTCATACAGAGTTGACCTCACTACATAGCCAAATGGCCACGAGCGTTTGAGCTGTGTTCTGAAGACGGCCCTACTATCCATTTCAGTGACCGGCTTCATGACGTGTGGAATTGCAATGCAACATACAGAACATTGAAACTCACTTATTCAGGGCTGGCCTGTAAAAACGTACACTGATTCCAAGAACCCTGTGCCCGCACAAGTAAAAGGATCTTGGTGTCCCTAATAAGTATGAATGCGATCTACCCCTAATCCCTGCCGCCACCTGGCTGAGACTGTTGGATGACAGCTGGACATGACATAAGGTAACTGCCCTTCGCCTTAGCTGACATCCCTCATTATAGCGCAATTTCTAGCTATACAATATATATAAAAACAACTTTTTTATTAACTTAAATAGTTTTATTTTTAATCACTATATTTATAAAATATATATAATACTTTTATATAATAATAAATAATTAAAACTTAATATTTAAAGAAATATAATATATAAATATATAATAAAGCTTTATATTATAAAATTAAAATTAAAAGTTATTATTTTTAATAATAATATATTATTAATATAACTAATTTAAATATTAATAATTAATAAAATATAATAGTATAAGTTTATAAACTATTAAAGTAACTAATTAAATAAATTAATTATTATAGTCTTTTAGCTAAACGATCTATTATACTAATAGTTAATAGAATTTCTATAAATCTATCTTAATAATGAAGCCGGGGGCGAGGTCTTCACACCCGAGGCTAGGGGTCCTCTACCCCCAACTTCTATAGTTAACCGTTTACTCATAATAAGTAAGAAAGAGGATAAAATAGTTACTTCTAGATACTAATCAAATAAGAATAAGGAGGGATGATTTTCTAGTAAAGTCTTTTAGGGGAGAGGTACCTATTTATATAGTCTATATCTAGGGCCGTTATCAACGGCCATTAAGATAATAACTGATTCTAGAGTTATAAGTTTAAACCCCTATAATTTAAAAATCTTAAATTAAACAGGGGGACTAATTTAAAAAGTACCCACTAAACGGTAACTTAGAGTAGGTTATATATTTATAAAGAATTAATTAGTTATAATATTATAAAGATTTATTTAAAAACTTAATTAAACTAATAAGAATTAAACTAACTATATTAAGCTTCTATTCTATTTAAGATTTTCAAACCTTTTATTTACTATATATTAATTTAATAATAAGTAATTAAGTCACCCTTAGTTAATTATAACTTAACATTTTATTATTTTAAAATTACTTCCTTGTTTAAGTAGTTCTAATAGACTTTAATAGGTTTTAAATAAAGGATATAATAGTATAGGTTTATAAACTATTAAAATAATTAATTAAATAAATTAGTTATTATAGTCTTTTAATTAAACGGTTTATTATACTAGTAGTTAATAGAATTTCTATAGATCTATCTTATAAAGTAATTATATAATAAAATTAAAATAGTTTTTAAAATAAACTTTATAAAAAAGATTTTATAATAAATAATTTAATAAATTAACTCTTTCTTATTAATATATTTAATAATTATTTTAATCTATCTTTATTTATTTAATAAAATATATTATTACTTTTTATTTATTTATATAATTAATAAAAATATAATATAATATAAAGAATTAATATAATTAAAGTTAATATTTTATTATGTTTACTATTTTTTATTTTATTTTATACTAACTATACTTCTAATATTTATTATTATTATTAAACTCTTATATTTTAAAATTATAAAAACTATTTATTCTTATAATTTAAGTTACCTTTACTTAAACCTAGCGCGCTACCTACCCTAGATTCAGAGGCCGCAATCCAGTGAATCACCCACCTACCAGGCTAAGGTTATATTAGATGGCCATCTAGTAGGTGGGTAAGATTCCAGTAACTCCCTCCACAGATGCCCATGTGTTTACTCACTGTGTAAGGCAGACTTTCCGCCAACAGGTAATGCCCACGCCATGCCTAAATCGAACGATACGAGGAAGCTAGATGCCGAGTTCGAGATCCATGCTGTGGCGCAGACTTGGCAGGCCACTTGCGGCGTGAGTCACATGCGCCCGGGAAGGAATGCTTCCAAGTTTGTCAGCCCACTTGGGCAGTTCTAAATTGGCATCGAAAAACATGCCTGGATTCAGAAGAGTTGCAAATGATAAATTTCCGGCTGCACCCATCTTCCTGGGATAGATGGGAAGACCATGCGCACTCCCTAAGCCCTTCTGGCCGCACCCTACAATCACGTCTGCACTTCCTTTGACTCTTGTAGCTTCGAACTGGCCATCATGCCACGCTGGAACCCCATACCGTCGGCCGTGTGCCACGAGCAACCCACAGATGTGACAGACCCGCCCGCCGAGAACCCCAAAACCAATGGATACATTTTCAAAGATCGCGTCGACGGCAGCTACCGCGAAACACGATACGTTGCCAGAGTCTGCCGCGCCCTCCCAGCCTACCCTAGAACTTACGGCCTTAGCTGCTATCGACACGATTGTCAACACTGTCACCCCGACACTGCTGCGGAGATGTCCCACATGTATTCGAGGCCGTGGAGCTGGTGGATGCGGAACAGAAGCTTGACTGATTGGTATGGTAAAGAATGCATCTATACGCCTAAGCCCCGGACTTGTTTGACTGGCAAGAGAGGCTGTAAATTCAACAAGATGGTCTACATACGCCCCGCAAAAGAGAAACCTGTTGCCAAAGATGAGACCCGCCGGCGTGCTGCCAGAGCTGAGCGGGCAGAAGAGGAGAAACAAGACGACAAGAAGTGCGACAAGACACAGCGGCTTAGCAAATGGGAGACGTCGACCTCTCGGCCCATCGACGAGGGCTGCGAGCTGGCTTTGTCAGAAGACGTGGTCCTGCCTACGGATGACTGGAAAACAGAGACTGGGGATATCCAGCTCGCGATCCTGGCGAGCTTGGGCTTGTTGGATGATTATGAGGCGGAGGACGCCGATATTACATTGAATTCACTTCCGCGGAACGAAGATATTTACACGATCAGGTACAAGCCCGGCAGCAAGAAGAAGAATGCCCGCAGATGTCCCGGGGAGGCGGAGGTCCCTGTGGAGGCGGAGGTCCCTTGGGAGGCGGTGGTCCATTGGGAGGTGGAGGTCCCGTGGGAGGCGGAGGTCCCGATGCTGGACGATGACGTGGACTGGGAGCTGGTTCTTCAATCCCAGAGTGAGGGTAGCATGTCATGGACAATGCTTGATGAGTAGGGAAAACATTTGTTCTCTTGCATTCTAGATGTCTCATATCATTGATGGCAGATATTGGCACTTGTTGACATATATTAATAAAGGATTATTGAATTCTTTTATTCCTCATACACAGATCTAAATACTATGTCGTGCCAATACTCGAGGCAACCTTGGAAGATAGTCAGGTTCCTTTGGCTAAGAGCTCAAAGTAAGTATCGGAAGTCGGGGTTCTCGAAATCCGTCGCATCAGCACCATCAAAGGCATCGCCCTGTTGTGGCTGTGCCGCTGCCGCATCGTCTCGCCTCTTATTCCTCATCTGTAGCAACAGTCTCAAGCCGAGCGCTAGGCAAACCTGAGCCACAGCACAGGCCAGGATCACAATGCAGCCTGTCCTGTAGTAGGGAGACTCCTGCTTCAAGAATGCATGTGGGCCGATGACGTTTCCAGCGCAGTACGCCAAGAAGACCAGCGCAGACGACGACGTGCGCTTCGTGTATCCTCCCACGTTGGCGGACGGCATCTGCAGTGCCAGCACGAGCGAAGCGACGTAGGACCCGGAGATGTAGTATCCGATCAGGACGCCGACCTTGTTCGCGTAGTCTGTCCGGTCCATCTTCCAGATCAGGCTGACGCCAATTATGGTTGGCAGGTTGTACAGTGCCATGACAGTGGTCCGGTGGTTCTTGTAGCGAGAGGCGATGTACGTGCCGGAAAGGATCCACACAACCTGGAATGCGCCCTGTGGAATACCCAGGGCGGTGGTCTTGAGCGGGTCGGTGACGAGGCCCTTGACGATGAGCTTGCCGAAGCTCGCGTAGCCACCGTTGATGACCTCGTTGAAGAGCACGAATGTGAAGAGCAGCCAGACCTGTGGGTCCATAAATGCCTCACCAACCTGTGCCCACTTGACTGTCTTGTTGAGAATGCCAGTCTTGGCAAGGCGGCCACGTGCAATGAGCAGAGCCTTCTCCTCCAGAGTGAATCGCTTGGCTTCGAGGATCGAGTCGGGCAAGAAGAACATCAGAACAAGGCCCCAGACAACTGTGACTCCACCGCAGAGGAGGAAGATGGCTTTCCAGACTGGGAAGGTCTGGATCTGTCCTATTCCGTACGTTAAGATTCCGCCGATCATGGAGCCGAAGCCGTTGCAGCAATAGAAGATACCGGCACGGAAAGGTTGTTCTGGCCGTGTGTACCTTGGAGGTGTCAGCATGCGTGCATAGAATCAATGGCATGTGTAGGACTGACCACATGGCTACTATCATCATGAAGCAAGTTGTGATAGGGGCTTCGAAGACACCCAGCAGAAAGCGGCATGTTCCGAATCCAGCAAAGTTGTGACAAGCGGCCGTGATCATTAATATCCCACCCCATCCCAGAACACAGGCAGACACAATCTTCGCCATGCGTGTCTTTTGTGCTGCCCACATCCAGGGATATTCGGCGACGAGGTAGGCGAGGTAGAACATGGAGGTGAACCAGGCATACTGGTCCTGGTCGATGCCGGTGCTGCTGAAAAGGTCGAAGACGGCGGCGTAGGACATGGCCTGCTTGTCGATGTACTGCAGAACATATGTGCCCGCGAGCAGGGGCAGCACGACGAAGTCGATCTTGCGGACGAGGCGTTTGTTCATCTCCGCGTCGGCCAGAAGCTCTGCGAGGTACTCGTCGGAGTAGTTGTGTTCTCGGAGGAAGACCTCGGAGGCATCGAGCGAGACGATTTCGCCTTGTGTGATGGACTTGATGCGGGAGATGGAGACATTGTCGCCGCCGCCTTTCGAGGCACTCGGGGCCTTCTCGAGCGACACCTTCTCCTCCTGGGCTGTCATGATGATAGAATCCGAGACAGGATGGATAGATTCAGGATGGAGGGCAACTGGTGTTTCGAGACAGAGGTGTCGAGAGGATAGACAGCCGCTGCGTAGGGAAAGTATTCGGGTAAATACTACCCTTAGTATCCGTTGTTATCAACGTGTTGCCACAGACGGTCTCTTAGATCGTATGGTCAGCTGCGCTCGTTATCAGGTTGGTATCCACATGGATCTTGGACTGCAGGGTTCTTTGGGATCTATCTCGGAGGCTGTATGGTCACGATCCGACGGGTATTGGTCTGGGATCTTCTGCGAATTTTCAAGGCTTGACTATAACTTGAATTGGTATTAGTTGTTCAGGAACATCGTTGAAAGTGAATGTAACATGGTAGTGGCTTCAATCGACTTGTTCACCAAGAAGCTGCATATTGTGCAGAGATTATCACTGTAGTAGTATATGAACTGCTCTACCATGACTTTCCCGGCTTCCTCTCCATTCAATGGCAGGGGCTAGGTAGAGAATCAAGGAACAGTAAGCCGGATATTTGTTCCGTGTTGCCCCAGGTTCTCGTTACCTAAGTGATTGACGTCGTGCGGAGTGTAACCCTGGCGTTCCTAGGGGGTATACATGATAGGCCTCAGATTTAGGGATAACGGCCGACCCCCGTTCGGCACTTGCTGTTATCTGAAAGGACGGACGGACCTATGTATCATGCGGATACCTGTTGAAGATAGCAGCTCCGGGGGAGTGGTGCCGGTCCCTGCCGGTTCGGCTCCGACGAGTCCGACATCGCGTCGCTCGGCCTCAGCTCCGTATTCAGGCCGAAAACTACTTAGTGACGACACAAGTGTAGAATTTCGCGACGACGATGCAGCGCTGAGAGTTGAATGCATTACGTGCGTGCCAATACCTAGCTGTGAAGATGGTTTTGCAGGTCGATTCATCCCGCCCAACGGTTCAGCTGCCCCAGCAGGGCAAAGTCATCGGCATCACCCACTCAAAGGACGAGAGCGCATTTCGTCCTCGTGCTGTCGATGCGTTCCTCGGCATACCATACGCCGTGCCACCTGTCGGCGACCTGAGGTTTCGTCCGCCCCAGAAGCTCCCTCCTAGCCCAGAGAATGTTCTCGACGCCTCAGAGTACGGCCCGGCAGCCCCTGGGAGACCTCTGTTGATAGCAGACCCATCGAAACCGCCACTGGTTTACAGTGAAGACTGCCTGACGGCCAACGTGTTTCGACAGTCCGGAAGCACATCCCAAGATGGGAAGCTGTTGCCAGTCGCCATCTACATTCATGGCGGGGCCTTCAACCGCGGAACGGCCAGCATGCACAACACGGCATCGATGATGAGCTGGGCAGAGGAGCCGTTTGTGTGTGTTTCGTTCAACTACCGGGTGGGATCACTAGGCTTCTTGCCGAGTACACTAAGTGCCAAGGAGGGTGCGCTCAACATCGGCCTCAAGGACCAGATTCTGCTATTTGAGTGGGTACAGGAAAATATCGAGGCGTTCGGAGGTAAGTACTTTAGCATCCAAAGAAACAGGCAGATATTATCGTACAACCATACTAATTGTTAACCTACATAGGCGATCCGACCAACGTCACGCTGTTCGGGCTCAGCGCGGGTGCGCACTCCATCGGTCATCATCTCATGCACTACAAGGAGGGCGTGAAGCCGCCATACAACCGGGTCATCATCGAATCTGGCGCACCAACCTCTCGCGCTGTCAGGCCATTCGATGCTCCTGTCCACGAGGCGCAATTCAAGGACTACCTTGCCGCGGCAGGGGTACCTTCTGACCTTCCCGAGGACGAAATCTTCCCCTTCCTGCGGTCCCTGCCGTCAGAGAAGATCGAAGAGGCACAGAACACAGTCTTTGGTTCGTACAACCCAAGCCTAAAATGGGCATTCCAGCCGGTCATAGACGGAGAAATCATCCCGAGGCCGCCCCTGGAGACGTGGCGACAAGGAAAGTGGAACAAGGTTCCAATCATGACTGGTTTCCAGAGAAACGAGGGCAGTCTGTACGTGGATAAGACCATGAGCAAGTCAGAGCAGTTCACTGGTTTCTTCCGCAACTTGCTGCCATTGCTGTCGGAAGAGGACCTCAAGACCATTGACGAGTTATACCCGGACCCCTTCAAGGTCCCTGAATCCCCCTGGAAAGAGGACAGAGACGGTGTTGGGGCCCAGTACAAGCGAATCGAAGCGGCCTACGGTCACTACGCGTACGTGGCCCCTGCCCGGCAGACTGCCGAGTTTGCGAGCTTGCATGTCCCGGTCTACCTGTACCAGTGGGCGGCGATCGCGACAGTCCTCAACGGCGCCCAGCACGCCGATAACATGAGGTATGAAGTCTGCGAACCCAGAGTTCTCGCCGTCAGCAAGAACCAGGCCGAGCTGGCCAAGACGGTGAACTCGTATGTCACCAACTTTATCACAAAGGGCGACCCGAATGCTGGAGTACCCAAGCCAAGGTGGGAGCCATACAACAAGGAGACACCAAAGTCTCTGGCGTTTGGGCTGGGCAATGAGGAACTCATAGGCGGCGATCTGGGCACAACGGCCAAGTTCGTGGACGATGAGTGGGGCAGGAAGGAGAGCGAGTTCTGGTGGAGTAAGGTGGATTTGTCACAACAGTAATTACCAGCACAGTAGCGAATAGACCAATAGGCAGCTGGAATGCTCAGGTATTAATTGCTGTATTCACCGTCAGAAACGTCTACCGAATCGTAGAGCCCGTGCCACTGCCAAGCTATCGCAATGGGTCGAGATATGCATGCCATTTCAATGTTGCATGGAGCAATCCGATAAAGGTGGAGTTCCGCGGCCGGCGCGCGGGGAACAAGGATCGCGTGCGTTAAGTCCATTACGTTTCCCGCGGGAAACTCACGTGTAATGCATTGATAGGTGACTTCAGTTTGTATTAGAAAACTTGTTGAAATCGGATTACAATATTGCAAAGAGCGCTGAGCAACAGCTCAATATGCCACGGATCCGTCTTCTACCGGCATGGTTATCCGGACCGATGCCGGATTGAGAGGAAGCGCGTTCTGAAACTCATGGCTCGTACATAACAGGACAAGAGACATCGAGTCAAGCGTCGTGAGTGCTGGAGGTTGTCCTGTTCCTCAACGTCAACACCACCACATCATATCCTAGCCGCCAGACAGAGGATAACCACAACCATGTCTACTTCCGTCACACTCCCGGAGCCATTTGCCTCCATCCCACGGTCCAGCCTCACATTCGGGCCATCACCCATCCAGGCGCTCCCCAAGATCTCAAAAGCCCTCGGCGGACAAGTAAATGTCTACGCCAAGCGCGAGGACGTGAACTCAGGCCTGGCCTTCGGCGGCAACAAGGTCCGCAAGCTGGAGTACCTCGTCCCACAGGCCATCGCCGAGGGCGCCGACACGCTCGTCTCGATAGGCGGCGTCCAGTCCAACCACACCCGCGCCGTCACGGCCGTCGCCGTCGCCAGCGGGCTCAAGGCGGCCACCGTCCAGGAGCACTGGGTCGACTGGACGGACCCCGGCTACGAGAAGGTCGGCAACCTGCAGCTGAGCCGGCTGATGGGCGGTGACGTCCACCTCGACCCCAGCGGGTTCGGCATCGAGCACAAGACCACCCTGGCGAACCTCACCAAGGACCTCGAGAGCAAGGGCCAGAAGCCCTATTATATCCCCGCGGGCGCGAGCGACCACCCCTTTGGAGGGCTGGGCTTCGCGAGGTGGGCGTTCGAGGTGGAGCAGCAGGAGGCCGAGCTTGGTGTCTTCTTCGACACCGTCCTCGTGTGCGCCGTCACGGGGAGCACGTTCGCGGGCATGATCGCCGGGTTCAAGCTGGCGGAGAAGAAGGGCGGCAAGCCGAGGAGGGTCATCGGCATCGACGCCAGTGCCAAGGTGAAGCAGACGTTCGACCAGGTCCTGCGGATCGCAAAGTTCACGGCCGCCAAGATCGGCCTGTCGGAGGATGACATCACGGAGAAGGATGTCGAGCTGGTGGACAGGTATCATGCGGGCACGTATGGTATTCCGGACGAGCAGACCATCGAGGCTATCAAGTTTGGTGCCAGCACAGAGGCTTTCATCACGGATCCTGTGTATGAGGGCAAGAGTCTGGCGGGTATGATGGATATGATTAAGAAGGGGGAGATTCCTGCGGGTAGCAACGTACTGTATGCTCACCTGGGTGGGCAGCTCGCGCTGAACGCATATTCAACGATTCCGTGAGGTAGTCACAATTGATGAGCTTTGAAATTCGCCACGCCGCTCTTCCACATTCGAATTATTCTCATAACTGGGTAAATTTACCACCAGCAGCGAAGTGCCACCTCTGATCGGGTGTGCGCTATGCGGTCATGGCGTCTAAGTATATTCTACCATCCTATCAGATAACCTCTATCAGTATAATCTTTTTTGAGACAATTTCCTACAGGATAGCCTTCTTCAGACCAACCTGCTATGTAATAATTCCTCATAGGAAAACATCTTAGGCAATACCTTACTATATAGCAGACTCTTGACCTCCTATGAGATAATGCCCTAGGGGGTAGAATATCTACCCTAGGGTATAGGAAAGTTAAGTAGAGGTCGACAAGCCATATGCTGTCTCTTGTTGCGATGAGCGTGTGACATCATTCACCTTTAAATAATATGAAGAGTTTATAGTTATAGTATACATTAAAATATAGTTACTGTTAATAGAGTTTTCTATATAGCTTTGAAATAGTTATATAGGTTTTATAGATATAGTTTAAGGTTAAAATTAGTTTAAATTAGTTTAGTTATAAAATTTAATTAAAATTAAAAACTTTTAATTAAAGAAATAATAATTAAATCTTTTTTTAATTAGTAATTTTAATTAAAGATTAAATTAATTTATAAATTAATCTTTAATTTTTAATTTAATTAAAAAATAAGTTTATTTTATTAAATTTTATTTTATTAAATATTAAATTATATAACTTAATTTAAATATTAAAAGAATATTTTTAAAAGTTTTTAAAAATTAATTATTATTTTAATGAATTTTTAAAAATAATAAAAATATTTTTAAAAGTTTTATTTAAAAATATTTATTAAAAATATTATACTTTAATTTAATTTAATTAAATAATATTAAATGAAATATAAAAATTAAAATATAATTTTAATTTTATTTTAATTTAAACTTTAAATCTTTATATATTAAAAAAGTATATTTTATAATTTATTTTTTAAAACTATTTAATTTAAAATAAATATATTTCTTTATATAATTATTTAAATAAATAATAAAAATTATAATTAAATTAAGTTTAATTATTTTAATAATTTTATTTAAATAAATATAAAATTTTATATAAAGTTAAAGTTAATTTTATATATAATTTGTTTTTATAAATAATAATTTAAAAATAATTATATAATATAATAATAACTCTTTTAAATATAAAGTTAAAAACTTATAATTATAATTTTATAATTAATTTTTATTTAACTATATTACATTACTATAATTTTATTTAACTTTATTTAAATTTCTTTTAAATCTCTTTAATATTTTTTTAGAGAGTTAAATTTAAAAGGAGCCTTTAACTTTAAGTTCAAAATTCTTATAAATCTTAATTTTTTAAATTAAACTTATAATTTTTAACTTTTTAAAAATATATTAACTATCTTAAATATTAATAACTTCTCTTTAAAGTAAAAGTCTATCTTTATATAATTATAAATTTAATTATTAATAATTATTTTTTCTTTTATAAAATTATTAAAACTATAAACCTAAATATTATATATAGTAATAAAGTATAATTATCTTATCTAGTTATCTTTTAGTTTAACTAAATAACTATTTTTAAGTAATTTTACTTATAGAGCTAATAGCTTTATCTTCACCTATTTTAGCTAACTTATATTTATAGAAGGCTTAAGTTACATAGCGACCTTATATATAGTACTTAATAGCGTTAAGACTAGATAGCCTACGGTTTGTAATAGCTTTAACCTTTAACGGATTGATTTATATTAAGGTTAATAGTACTAACCTAAATTAATATAACTTAATATATTAATATAAGAAGGTATCTTTTAATAATAAATAGTATTATAAATAATTATAAAGTTATTATAAAAGTTTTATATAATAAATTTAATTAAATTAATCTTTAAAAGATATATTATATTTTATCCTTTAAAACCTAACTATTTACTTTTAACTTAATAATAAAATTAAAAAAATATAAATAGTTTATAATATAATAATATAATTTATTAATTTATATTTTTAAAATAATATTTAAAATAATAAAATATTATTATAAATTTAAAAATATTAAATTAATAATTAATATTATAAAGTTTTTATAATTATTAAAGGTTTTTAATTATATTAATATTAAATTTTATATTTTAAATTTATATTAATTAAATATTAAAGGATTAATATTATTTAATTATTTATTTAAGTTTATAATACTTTTATATTATAAAATTATAATATTATTTATTTACTTTTAAATATATTAGTAAAGTTTTATTATAATATAATTATAATATTATTAAAATTTCTTTTCTTTTATAATATATATAATAATTTTATTTAATAAATATATTATATTAAATTTATATAATTAATTTAAAAGTTTAATTAAAAGATTTTATTTTTATAAAATTAAATTAAATATATATATTAATTACAATAAATATTATTAATAATATAATATTAAAATTAAAATTTATATATTTTTAATATTTTAATATTTTATTTATTAGATTTTAATTTATTTAAATTTTTATTTAATATATATATTTTTAAATTAATAAAATTTTTAAGAAGGTAATAAGGTGTAAAGTATTTAAATTTATAGTTTAATAGTTAAAGTCTTTTAAATAAAGGAAAGATTTAAGTTTAATTTCTAATAGGTTTTATAATATATTTTTTATTTTTTATTTTATTAATTAATGTATTATTAGTTAAATAGAAAGTTAAATAAAAGTTAAATAAAAGTTAAATAAAGTTAGGTAAAAGTTATATAAAATATTAAATAAAAGTTAAATAAAAGTTAAATAGAAAGTTAAATAAAAGTTAAATAGAAAATTAAGTAAAAGTTAAATAGAAAGTTAAATAAAAGTTAAATAAAAGTTAAATAGGTATAATAAAGTATAATTAGGAGAAATACTAAGTTAATTTATAATTAAGTTAAGTTTAATAAAAGAGAAAAGAGTAGTAAATAAATAGATATTAAAGAATTTAAATCTTTTAAGTTATATTTCTTAAAGAGTATTAAACCTTTAAAGCTCTACTTTTTAAACTATATTTTTATATTACTCTTTTAACTTTACTTTAATTTAATTTAAACTTTATTTATATTAATATTAATTTTTATTAATAATATTTAAACCCTTTTCTTTTAAAACCTTTAAGCTTTTTTACTTTTTTACTTTTAATAAATTTCTTATCTTTTATACTTTTTATTTAAATTTTAAATTAAAACTTTAACCTTTAAAATTTAAAAGTTTACTTAAAATTAAATTATAATTAATTTTTTAATATATTTATTTAAATAATTATTATATTTATTAAACTTTATAATTAAATAAATAAAAGTTTAAAATTTATATAAAACCTTTAAATTATTAATTTTTTTAAAAATATTAATAATTATAAATATTTTTATTATTTTATTATTAATTATAATTATATTTTTATTTATAATTAAAATAAATTTTAACCTTTTTATTTTAAATTTTAAATTATTTTATTAACTTTAATAAATAATTTTAAATATTACTTTCTTTAAAAACTCTTTAAATTTTATAAAAATTATTATTTTATTTAAAGTATATAAGTTAGAATATAACTATATTATATTTATATATAGTATAGACGGAAGGTCTGGCAGCTAGAAGGTCTGCCTGCAGTCTTTAAGGTAAGCTTAAAGATATAGCCTATACGCCTACTAGCTAGCGTTAGCTAGTAGCTAGCTAGCTACCTCCCTATACCCTATCTATCTATTTATATGTAGGTGTGGCTGCACTTTATTGTGCCTATTATAGTAATTTTTAACCTTTTTACTTTAAATTTTAAATTATTTTATTAACTTTAATAATAATTATTTATAAAGTAATTTCTTTTTTAATTATTAAATATTAATAATATTTATATAATATTAAAAATATTAAATATAATAAAATTTAAAATATAAATTTATTATTATTTATTATATTATATTTATATATAAAAAGAATAATATTATACTTTTATATATTTTTATTTTTAATTTAATTTTTAAATAAATTTTAATAAATTTTAATAATTATATTAATATTTAATTAAATAACTTTATTATAGTTTATATTAATATTATTTTTAAAAGATTAAATAATAGATTTAAAATTTTAAAATAAATTAATTAAATTTTAAATTATTTTATTATATTATTTTTTTAAATAAAATTAATTAAATAATTAATTTTTATAATTTTAAAATAAATTTTATTAAAATATTAAAGTAATTAATAAAAATATTAACCTTTATTAATTAAATCCTTTCTTTTTTATTATATTAAATTTTTAAGTTTTAAATTAATAACCTTAAAGTTTACTCTTTTTTTCTTTTATTCCTTTATTATACCTTTTATAATACCCTCTTATTTAATACTTAGTCTTTTCTACTTTACTTACTTTTTTAAAGAACTTTTTCCTTTTTCTTCTTTATATACTTTATATTAATTATATAATCTATTATTCTTTTATAAATTATTAAACTTTTACTTAAACTTTTATATAATTATTTATTTTAAATAATAAAATTAAATTTATTTTAATTTATTAATTAATAATCTACTTTATATACTACTTTCTTCTTATATATTATAAATTTATATACCTTTAATTAATATTATTTATATAAATATTTATATTATAAACCTTATAAAAATTATATATATATAAAATTTATATTATTTAAATCCTTATTCTCTTTTATATATAATAATATACTTTATATACTTTACTTTAAAATTTATATTATTATTAATATTTAATTTAATAATAACTTATAATATAAAATATATAATAAATACTATTTTAATAAATATACTTTATAATAATATTTAATAGATATTTTAATTTAAAAGTAAGTTAATTTAAATTATTAAAATTATTATTAATTTAAAAGGTTTATTAATTAATTAAGTTTTTATATAAAGTTAAATAACTTATTCTCCTTTTATATCTTTATTTAATACTTTATTAACTTCTTTTTAAATATAAAGTTAA